CCTCGCTACTCCTAAGTCCTCGCTTCACTCCAACTCCTGACTCTGACACACAGGACCTGCAGGACTGACTCTCTCTGTCTCTCTCTCTCTCTCTCTCTCTCTCTCTCTCTCTCTCTGCCCTCCTCTCCTCCTGACTCCTCCTGTGCAGGCTCCTGTTGCCTCGTGGAGCACCCAGCCTACCCGCTACATTACTTGGGGGTCTCTCCATGACCCCCATGCTCCACCTACAAGCCTCCTGCTGAATATCCTCCAAGATTTTGTCCTGAGGGCAGAGCTGCTGGGAGGCAGTGGAACTTTAAGGAAGGGACCTGTGGGGGCCCCTTCAGTCATGGGTCTGTGCCCTTGATGGGGATGTGGGACCTCAGCTGCTTCCTCGCCATGATGTGCTGCTTTACCACAGGGGTAGACTGGACTCGTCAAAACCAGGAGCCAAAACAAACTTTTCTCCTTATAATTTGGTGGTCTCTGGTATTTGTTACCATTTCAGAACGCTGACTGATACCGTCCCTCTTCTACTTTCATTGGCCTCTAATCAAACACCACCTTCCCTGTGAGGCCCAGCCTGCAAACTGTCCTTGTCACCTCTGGGGACTCTGGGCTACAAAAGCCAGAGAGGTAGGGGAGCAGGGGAAGAACGGGGCCTAGGAGGGCAGATGCCAAGAGAATTTCCCAGGATGCACTAGGACCACCCCAGAGTGCTGGTACAGACTGAGTGTTTCTTTTTGGTACTGGGTATTAAACTCAGGTCCTTGTGCTTGCAAGGCCGGCGGCAGCACCACTGAACTAAATCCCTGGCCCCAGACTGAGATTTTCAAGGAAAGGGTGAGTGCAACTCTGCAAAACATCTCCACTCCATCTCTAGGGCCCGGGCTTTTCTTAATAGCGTGATTTATGTCTGCAGTGGTGTGGAAGTCACGATCCTGGCTCCCCATGGCAACCGTCCCTACTCATCTTGGAGACTGAGGTGTGGGAAAGTTGAGGTGGGGAGTGGAGTCTGTCACACACACCGCCTGGCTGCAACTGAGTTCATGGGGTCTAGCAGAAAGCAGAGGGCAAATTAGGCTAATTCTAAAGGATGAGAAAAGGGATTCTTACCAAGGCGCACACAGGGGACATGGACTTCTCAAAGAGCAGAGGATGGTACCACCCTGGACCCAGAATCCAAGAGCAGAGTGCTGTGTGCAGGCCGCTGCTGCCTTGTAGGAGCTGAGCCCTCCAGAGGGTAGGAGAAAGCCCGGTGACAATGACCCCGACCTCACTCTACCCGCTTCCAGGGCTCCTCTCTAGTCAAGGAAGCCCTGTAAGGCAAGGAAGTAAGCCGGTACCCACCATCTGGGGCACAGGGCAGGGTGGAAGGGAATGGGAGATGCGGGAGATGACCCACACAAGATGCAACTGTTCTCATATCTGACTCAAGGCCTGGTGAGGATTCTCCAGCTCTGTGCAGGGCGTGTCCATTAGGGGAACTCGAGACACTGATAAGCGTAATAAAGGAATTTCTATTTCTATGGCTCATGACGGACTATCTTTGTCTAGAGTCCTTTATCCTTTGCATGACCGTACTGTGAATTTCTTCACTCCCTATCCAAAGTCACCTAGAGCAAACTTGCAAAACCAAAGATAAACACAAGAGATTTTCCCCGTGGAGACAGCTGAGACACAGACCTTCTGTGACTTCAGCCTGGCTGCAGAGGCCGGGCACTCTTTCTGGAGGGTCACTTCCCCGAGAGCACCACCCTTCAGACTCCCAAGGAATAAGAAACGGGCTGGCGCGGAAATCGCAGAGATGAAGCTAACTTGGGAGTCACTACTCCTGTGGCTTTTTGATAAAATAATAGAAAGACAATACTATGGCCAAGAAGGCATATTAACCCAGGATCACAAGGGACTCTATTTTAAAATGACTGTGAATAGATTATAAGACCAAGTCAAAATACACAAAATAATTCATATCCCACTTGTATGTGCATCTTTCCCTTTTGTTTATATGCAATTAAGTTGTGTACAGTGAATTAGATGCTTTGTTTTGTTCTCCGTAAGTACTTGGTTTGATTTATTCACATTACTGATGGTACATTTCTCTGGGAGTTCCTAGTTACTAATGCCGAGTCTCAGGCATCTATTATAACTGCTAACTAACAGCACCGTCTTGCCGCTGGAAGCAATAAATAAAGAAAAGGCACAGCCCAGAGAGGGCCTAACAAGTCCCTGTGGTACTTTTCACCAACAGAGCAAAATAAAAAATAACTCTCAACAGAGTTAGAAAGCAGAGAAGGAAAATAACGAAGGGGAAGGAAAATGAAAGCGAGCGAAGGGGGAAAGAAGGATGAAAAGAAAGCCTGTGAGCAAAACTGGACCGTTCAAATCCACCTATTGCAGTGAGCCACGTCCCCAAGTGCCATCACTTTTCCGTTCTTCCAAACTGTCCTGGGAAAGCCAAAGGGCTGAGGACCACCCTAGAGGGACGCGTCCAGCACTCGTTTCCAAATGTGCATACCTGAAGGTGAGCTTGCTGCAGGTAGCTGGGTTGTCGTTGACATCTTCCACAATGAAGGTTATCTGGACGCGGTTTTCCTGGCCCCCAGAGGGTCTGTCCCTCACCAGGACTTCCAGAGAAATGGTGGGGTTCTGTCTTAATTCACCTGCATCTCGGTCTATCCTCTGGGCCACGTGGATCGTACCAGTCACTACGAGGGCAAAGGTTAGAACTTGACCCTTTGAAGACAAATGAAGAATCAATAAAGGTATTGGAGTAAATTAGAAAAGGCCATTCTAAGATGAGGACTAGCTCCTACAGAGAATATCCTCTGTATACCTATGGATGGTTTATATCTAGCTACTCCCCGAAAGCCTCATGCAACCATAGGCAGGACTACTAGGAGGCGACTGAATAATGGGGGCTTATAGCGGACTAGCTGTTACGAGGTAAAGCCTGGTCTTAATGGCAGGTCACTGTCGGTGTGGCCTAGAAGCCTGTATCTCCCTCCCTGGCTCCTCCCTTAACACTGCTTCCTGAGCGCCATGAGGCGAGCAGCTGTCCCCTCCCATACCTTGTGCCTTGGGGCCACCAGACTGTGGATCACACCTTCCACAAACCTGAGCCACAATGAACATCTCCTCCTTTCAGTTGTGGGTGTTAGGTATTGTGTTTCAGTGATGAGGAAAGTGACTAAGACAACATACACTTTAAAAATAAAACTCATGTCAGTTCCTGTACTGGAAACAGAGGAGTAGCTGGCCTGATCTTCCTAGAATGTTTCTCCCCTACACGTCAGAGTTGGGCCCCAGGTGAGAGCAGTAGACTCCAGCTTGACCCACAGGAGTGTCTTGTTGGAAAATCTGTAACTGGGAGACTCAGGAATCAGTCCTGTCAGCAGGGGAGCCACAGGTGAAAGGCTGGAACTCTAGAGGCTGAGTTCACTGTGGCAGCACTGGGCCCGCCCTCCCTGTGTCCTGATCAGCTACCTTCTTATGAGCTGTCCTTCTTCTGAGCTACCCATATCCTGTTGATGCACATCCCTACCTTTTTTCTTTCCCCATGGTTGGTTGTCTTTGCCTTAGCTTCTGTTAACTGCAGCCAGCATCTTAATAAATATGTCCCCCAACATGTAAGTATTAAAACTTCAATTTGGCAGTACCGAGGGAATAGAAGTCTCCCTACACTATCCAGCAGAGTGAGGCCCTCAGTGCCCACACTCTAGGGTGTTCACAGGTGTGACACAGAGACCGCCTTTTCCAGCCTCCCCTGGGAAAAGCTATCCTTTGCCCTTCAGTCAATGGGTGAGGAACACACCACCTTCTGGGATTGTCCACGGCTGGCGCCCACACAGTCATAGCAAGTGATGTCCTCTGTGGTGAGGTGGACTGGGTTTATGGAGGTGGGACCGTCTAATGGTGGCTATGAGGTTAGGCTCTGGAATTAGTTGGCTTGGAATGGAATCTCTGCTTCACCATTATCACATGTGAGAACCTGGGCAAGTCACATAACCTGTCCAGGTCTCTTCCCAAGCCGGTGTCCTCTTCTGTCACACACGGATTATGGCATGTACTGGGTTGAGTACTTAAGTGAGTCACTCTGCATAATACCCGATATGTCCAAAGCCTCCCATAAAAGTGACTATGAGAGAAGGAGACTCTTTCTCCGAGCAAATAACCCCAGTAATGCGGCAGACTGAGCTACAGGACCCTGTCCAATGCATCACACTGGAGCTATTTAGCACCTGAAATGGAGTTGGTCCGCCTTGCTTTAAGTATAAAATACGAAACACACCTCCAAGGCTCCATGCCAAAGAAAATAATGTAAAATGTCTGGGTCATAATTTTAGATGTTGATTACACATTGAAATGATAATATTTTGGATCTGTTGGTTTAAATGAAATGCTTTAAGATAAATTTCATTTGGTTTTTTTTTTTTCTTTCAAAAATTTAACTACTAGAGACTTTGAAATTGAACATTTATCTTCCTTCTGTTTCAGCCCTGGAAAAGACCCTGTCTTCCGAAGCCTTCAGGATACCTCAGCGTAGGAATCCGTGCTCCCTCAGGTACCGACTTTCCTCAGAGGGAAAACGCTCAGGGCATGCCACCCCTCATCACGGTGGGTGTCTGACAGAGGAGCAGAAGCAGGAAGGCCTCTCTAACCTTCTCCTGACTTTTGAGGGAATTTTTGCCTTTCCCCATGGAGTGGTCCTGAGGCTTCAACCCAGAGATGCCCCACCTACGCCCAGAGGGAAGGGCCTTCCCAAGGTCAGAATCTGCAGCACAGGCCCTGCTAAGCACCCCCCAGATTTACTGCCAGCACAACTGGACACCTTTTGTTCTCCAGCCGTAATTCACCGGCTCTTCACTTTCTTCAGCAACCTCAGCTCGGAAATCCAATTTTCCCCGCAGCTTTGAGACTTCCTTTCGGAGGGCCCCCATGTCGCATCAAACTCAGATTAAATAAATTTGCATGCTTTTTCTTGTTCCTGTGCCTTTTGTAGACACGGACAGACTATGCGTAAACCTAATCATGGTGAGAAAAGAAATCTCTTCACCCCTACCAAGGGGCAGGGTCACAGCTGCCAACACTGCTCAACTTCCAGCCGGCTGCTTTACATACATTCATCCCCTGGTCCCTAGCGATGACCCTAAACAGAAAGATGCGTCCCAGGCCACAGAGACGGTAAAACAGTGTAAAACAACCCAAATGGCTGAATGAAGGATGCACTTAAAGATGGTCACGTGTGACTCACACTGGTTTATCACAAAGTACTTGCTGACTGTTGTGATGGTGTACAGGAGGTGGCCGGGAAAGCGTCCCTCGTTGTCGGGGTCCTCAGCTGTGACATTGGCCACGATGGCTCCCGCACCCAGCTCCTCCGGGATGGAGTACACTCGCTTCGGGCTGGAACACAGCAGACACAGCTAATTCGCAGGGGCACAGGAGGGAGCAGCCTGGGCGGTGGGTATTTTGGTTAGTGCTAAATATAGCTCTGAGCTGTTCAAGTTGCATCAAGGCGGGCTCTCGGGAGGGGAGAGTGCAGCAGCTGAAAGGCAGGTGACCAACTGGCTTTTGTTTCCAAAGATCACATCCCTGTGGCTGCAAAGACAGTGCTGCGCTGTTACCGTGACAATTTACGCAGGCCACCGTGTGTGACTCTGTGCACGCCCGCCTGCCTGTGCCATTTCAGACCGACCTTCACATAGACAGCTTTTAAAATAGACAGTCGGCCTCTCTGCTAGCTTCTCTCTTTCTTCCAGTGTTTGTGGAAAAAAAAAAAACTGCCTGAATTCTTTTTAAAAAATCTATCTGGACATAAAGTCCAAAGCTGCAGGTTCCTGTCTGCTATGTGACTCCGAACCTGTGCTACCAGAAGCTTGAAACATTGTAAAGCTCCTCTCTTCTAGCACCTGTGCTCACTTTTTATTCCTTTTCTTCTCTTTCTCTCTTGCCTATGAATATAGAATTGGCACCTGGAACTTGTGCACATTTCCAGGGGGCATTAATCATGATGTCTGCTTCTTAGAACTTGGAATCAAGTTCCCTGGCAGAAGGCAGGGTCAGAGCAGGTCCCCCAGGGGGTCACTTCTCGCAGTGTCTCTCCAGATCACCTTACCGGCATCCTCCAGGGCCTTCAAAAAAGGCGGAGTCAGACAGATAGGATGGAAGTCTTAACTCTACAACTGGGTGAATCGAGGAGCTTTGAACACACCAAGGAGGCTTGCTGCTCACAATGCCTCTTCAGGAAATCCTTTAGCTGAGGGAAAATCATTTCAGTGGGGCAGAGCCAGTTACCCTCTTATCTCCCAGTTCCTCAAACTGGCCTCTTCTCATGAGGGCTCTTCCTTAAGGTGGGGCACCCACCACCTCATATCTAAAACTTCCACTTGTGTCGGGACTCGGTGTTCTGCAGCTGTCCAGCATCCTCACCAGGTACGCAGGGCCACAGGAAGGGGAGATGGAAGGGAACTTCCGGCAAGAGTCAGGGGCAGGCAGAGAAAGGCTCCTCCAGCCCTTGCCAACTGCTGCAGGAGCTAAACCCCTTGAAGGGGACTCGTCAGGTTATCAGCAACAGCAGGCTCCGCAGGTCACCAGCCGCTCTGGGCTGCCGCAGTGGTCAGCCTGGCAGACACGAGAATCTCTATAGTGCACTGGGCTTTGGGACCCAACATCCAGGTCTGGGAATGCTATCTTTCAACACGAAGGTCTGCCGAAGCAGGCAGAGGAAACAAGCTTCTGTGTACTTCCATTCCCACACTCGCCTCCCCATGTCCCCAGCTGTGGGAAGGGTGGGGGCTCTGGGGGACAGGACGGCTCCATGGCGCTGAGTGAGCACTCAACAGGTGCCTAAGGTGTGCGTGCCATGGCCAGGCGCAGGTGGAGGAAGACTGAGAGTCAACACAGGAGTGGGCAGGAGAGGGGAAAGACCTAAAGCCAGGTGCTCTGCAAAAGCAGCCAGCACTGTGCTTGCGATTAGCGCTTGACTAATACTGGCACACCCCCAGAGTGCACATCCTGAACCCACAAAGCTCACGGCCGTGCGGCACCACCTAGGCACGGAATGGTGAGGCGGTTTCAACAACAGAGCTTCGGTTGCACTAACTGCAGGCACGTAGCCATAAGGACACATGGAAGGGTTGTTTCTACATTCAATATTTCCGCATTACTTGAACTCAGGATATCCGAGTTGGTGTGACTATTTAATTTTGCCGATTCTGGATTTATGGTTAGCACTAGCACTGATTTAGGGGAAGGAAAGGAACAGAAGCAAGGGAACCATGAAGGGCCCCAGTTCAGCACCTCCTGTGACCCAAGCAGATGCTTTTAAATGGTGGGTGGTTGAGGGCTGAGGTTGCCCAGGACTCCACAGCCTTGGCCGAGTCAGGAGGTGTCCCGCCTCCAGGCTCCTGCGGACCTACCCTTGCCACCATCCATGCAGCACAAAGTTAGATGGTCACACGGGTCATAGTCACACAAGTCATGCTCTCCATCAGGGATGAGGGCTAACGGCTTCATCCCTCACACCCAAGGGGAGAACTAGGAGTTCTAGGCTGACTGCGGGACCACCTCAAGCCAGCCAAGGTCGTGTTGTCTGACTGCTAATATCTACTGCTGCCTTCTAGAAGATGTGGTACAAACCAGATGGTTTATAAATTCTTCCCTGGAAGGACTTCTTTTCCCTCTGTAACCCAATGAGCCGGCTTTTCCCCCTCAGAGACAGGGTGCACCGGGAGGGTGTAGAAGAAGGCTTTGGCTCCAGCCATGAGCTCTTGCCTCCCTCTGGGGGTGACTGACGGCCAAAGCTAGGCTGGGCCATCACAGGCTCTCCATCTGTCTGTTCTCTGCTTCCTGAGAAACCATCCCAAAATGCCCTGTGCCTTCCTGGGGCTGCCGAGCAGCAGGCACTGGTGCAAAGCATGATGTGCCAGTTTATTGCTGCTATTGCACCCACAGTGCTGGGCGCGGACAGTGTTCACACTGTAGCTTCTCAGGATGGTTGGCCTGGGAGTGGGGTGGCCTTAATACCACCCAATCTTACAATATTTTTGTAAGCACTCACTTGGCTCTGGGGCGTAACAGATTTTTCATAAATTTTTATATAACTTTATTTTTAATTGCCAAATAATAATTGTATCCTAATGGCTTTTGGTTGATAGGATATCCCCTGCTGATTTCATTTCCTTCACTCCCTCCTGCACCCAAAGCAGGGCCTGGGGCAGGCAGAATCTCTGGAGTCAGAAAGCAAGGCTGTTTGGCAGGCCCTTTGCCAGCCTAGACTCCCATCCTCTTCTGAATCCCCACTGACAGCAGGCACAGGTCCTCCCTTGGGCCAGGGATGGTGCCAGGCCCGTGTGCACAGGCTGCCGCAGGCTGGCACTGTCTGTCCTCACTACTGCTGCCAGCAGGGGCTGCAGACCCAGCCGGATGTCTTCCTGGGGCCAGCAGGATGGGAAGAAACTGCAGCTTCCAGGAGCGGGCAGGTGCCTTGGGCACCGTTAAGACAGGTGTCTCCTCAGTGCAAGGACAGAGCTTAAGGAGTCCTGACTGAGGAAACGGGCTGCGGGATTCTGCTGAGATTAACATTGCACTTTAATACACAGGACCTGCCTTGCATTGATTGCCTATGCACACAGTAGCTAGGTGCACACCAGGGGCATCCTGTGCACTCCCCCACTGTGTTCATGACCCCAAGGTGCATGTGAATGTGGGGTGCCAGAGGGTGGGGAGCAAAGCGGGGATGTGGAAGTCCAGAGGACCAATTAAGGATGCTGAAGACCTCATGTTGCTGTCTCTCCTCCAGGCCCGAGTGAAGGGCACCCCTCTATCTCGTCACCCACGTGTCTGCGACCTGGAAAGATGGCGCCCACAGCCCAGATGTCCCCTGCCCTCGGCCTACCTGGTGAAGAAAGGGATCTCGTCATTGACATTCACAATGGTCACCCGGAGCTCTGTGGAGGCTTTGAGGCCTCCGCTGTCCCTCACTTCCACAACGAGGTGGAAACTGCCAGGGAAACATTTACAAGCAAGGAAATCAACTTTGACATGAGAAAAGGCAAAAATGGGAAACAAAGTCTTTGTAAATAGGGCAGGGTGGACGGGTGGAAGGGAGGGCAGGGGGGCGGGGAATAAGGACCAAGAGATACCATGTAAAGGTATAAATTCCCAATGATGAATGGCATCGTATTGTATACCTAAAAGGTATCAATAAATTTAATGAATTTAAAAAAAAGAAAATCAATTTTGCTGTCCTGCCTCAGACTAGGAGGCAGAGGAGCAGGGTGGGACAGGAGGTAAGAGTCCCTGTTTGTGTGCCGATGTCCTCAGACCTGCTCTGCCACCCTCTGCCCTGGCCCTAACCCCCACCTCCACTCCTCACTGCTCTTCATGGTCCTTACCATCCCTGCCAAGTGCCCGTGCCACTCCCAAGAGCAAATGTACTCCCAACTTGTAAGTAATCTGTCTCGTCCTCATACCCGGTGCAGTGCAAGGCCTGACCTGGCTCACCCATGGCCTACAGTGTCCATCCCAAGCCCGGTCTCTCCTCAGGCCTGGCACTCTGCAGCCCCTTCTCAGCATCGCCTCCCAAACCCTCCAGGGCTCTGAGCATCCTTCTGACCCAGGAGCATCCTCTCCCTCACTGACCTTTTTGCTACTTGGAGAGGACAATTTGGGACTGGGAAGACACCTTTCCAGTGACTGCGCAGGCCCTGTCTCCCAGGTTCACGACTACCCAGCTCACAGCAGGACAGCAGTGCCTCCTTGCTGCAGGTGGCCTGTGGCTGCTCCCTCACATTTTCCCAGCCCCTCAGGTAAACCGAACTTCAGAGATGGTCACAGCAAGGATACCTCCTATGTCCTGCTTCAAAGTCCAGTTCTGTTGTGGAGAAGAGGGTGCCATTAGCAGACATGCTGAAGCTCCTTGAGGGAGAAGTCAGGGAATACTGAAAAACGAGGAAGGAAATAGAATTAAGTCAGCACACCTGTATGCCCTCCCCTAGATGTGTTTGTTCCATCCTCGTTTTATATTTTTAGCCCTTGGGGTATTTTTGAGGAGTCAGGATGAAGTCCAAAGGCAGCTGTCAGACTCAGTGGCTCTACTGACCACAGCCTGAGAAGCTGGTCAGTGGCTCCTGCGCCAACTTCTGGTGTCCCAAAGGGCCCTGGCCAGGCCAGTCCTGCTTCTGCAGCCAGGCCCTTATCTCCACCACTGTACTCAAGCTTCCAGACTATGCCGGCCTTTGAGTCTACGCCCTGGCTGTCACTGACGCCGAGCAAACAAGGCCACTGCCCGTTAGTCCACAGGCCCGTGCCAAAGTGAGTGAGATTTTGTCTCTGCCCTTAAAAGAGCTGACAAGGTAAGGGGAAAATATAGATACAAGCATCACCAAAACCATGGAAGGGACAGGGAACGGACAAGGGTGACCAGAGAATGGGGTGCAGCAGCCGTAGCATCCAGCTTGGAGCCAATAAAGAAGAGCTGTTTTAAAGTTTCATCCCAAGGATACAGCCCTGCTAAAGCCCTTCCCATGACAAGAGTCCTTGTCGTCCTCGGCCTCCCTTGTGCCCGACCCAGCCCTCCTAATAGTCCCCTGCCAAGATGGCTTTGGTTCAGGGGACTTAGGTCCAAGTTCTCCTCACCACAAGACTGGGGACAAGTGTCCTCCTTGCCTGTCACTTAAAGATGACACCCCCAGCCGCTCCTCTGAGTTACTGGGGAGACTGAGAATGCACGCTGTAGAACAGGAAGGGTGACAGCAACAGTTGAGACCGCTTAGATCCATTTGTGTGCAGTGGCGTTAAGGTTAGAAGGTTTCATTATTTCCTGCTGGAATGAGGGATAATCTATCCTCAAGGCCTTGGATCTCGGATCAGATAATCAGCATAGATTCTGTAAGCAGTCATAGCCCCTGAACTCTAGAATCAAAGAAATGCTGGCCAGTGTTTCCAGCAGCCCCGAGACTGGCCATGTGATTGCAGCTGACTTCCCAGTATGCACACGCACAGAGGATAGATTGAAGGTCTCCTTTAGGGCCAATATAAGGCTTTAAAGCCATTTCTAAAGAGTTTATTATTTGTTATTTAATAATCTCTTTCTAGTTTTAATAAACTTTTTTTTGGTACTGGGGATCAAACTCTGGTCCTTGCTGCAAAGCAGGTGACGGAACCACTGAGCTACATCCCCGGCTCAATAAACATACTTTTTACAGGAACAGCAGGAAAGTACTAAAAAGACACTAAATGAAAATCACCTGCAAAATCTCATCATTTTGAGGAAGTGCCTTCTACTCTTTCCTGTGCAAATACACAAAATCCTAAGTCGATGTTTGAATCAAAAGGATAATATCCTGTTCTTTGCGTCTATATGTTGAGCATTTCCTTGTATTCTTAAGTTTTAATCTAAAAGCAAACAGGGCCGGGGATTTAGCTCAGCGGTTCAGTGGCCTGCCTTGCAAGCGCAAGGACCTGAGTTCAATCCCTAGTACCCCCCCAAAAAAATAAAATAAAAAAAAATAAAAGCAAACTATTACTACTGCCCTGCTAGACTGTAATGTTCTGGGGGCGGTCTCCACATAGCCAGTGGTAGAGTGCTTGCCTAGCACAGGCAAGGCCCTGGGTTCAATCCCTGCCACCACAAAAGAAAAAGAAAGAAATATCTTCAGTCAAAAAAGGGATTTGTTTTATTCACTGCTATGTTATTGGTAGATAATGGGTTGTGGCACATAATAAATGCTCAATAAAATTTGTCAAGTGTTGAATATGGGGTTTCCTTCTTCCTGATTTCCCATCTAACGCACACCAACATTCTTACCCTAGAAAACCTTAAAACAACAACAAAAAGCCAACATGTCAAATAAAAAAAAACTGTCTGAATGTACTAATTCTAGACTTGGCTATGAAATCCTCTCCAGTTCAGCCTACAGTCTCAATCAGTTATGAAAAAAAGAAAGGAACAGAAAAGAAGCAGCAATAGATAGAAAGGGCGGACAGAACCACAGAACCAGGGATGTGAGAATTTCCGACATAATTTCTGTTAAGAAGCTGATTCCAGGAATCTTTTTTTTTTTTTTTTTTTTTTTTGTATTAGCGCCAGGATAACTTCTTATTTCCCTGAACCTTCATGCTTTGTTCGTGGGAATGGCAGCTTAGTACTTAGAAGGGAGATAATATCCACAGACTAGAAATATTGTGTTATGTGGCCATTCGCCAGCGACTCTAGGCTCTCTGTAAGATCCGGCGTTCTCTCCCCCCTTTTAAAGCCTTGCTTAATCAAAGCTGCTCCCTTGATATTCATTCTTGGAAAACAGAAATGAAATGAAATGAAAAGCGACTGCCGCCCCTCTCTGCCCCAGCGCTGGCTAAGAAAAGTCCCAAGTAACCAGATCAATTCGGTTAACAAACGCGGCCTGTCGACAAGCTCTGCTCTCTCCTTCCCGCCAGGGATCGGCCTTTCCTGCGCTGGTCCCTTCCACAGCCCCTCACAGCTTCGGCTGCTGCTGTACACAGCTGCCCTGGGAAGCCGCGGAGATCCCTGTCCAGCCTCAGTCTCTCCTCAGTGTGCTTCACCGTTAGGAAGAGGGGAAGGCAAGAAGCAGCTGACCCAGTTTCCTGAAATGTCACCACCCCTAGGGACCCGGATGTGCTGCTTTCTGCCACCTCCAGGTGCTCCCCAATGCAGTGGGAGTCGCAAGCCAGTGATTCAACCCCTGCTGGATTTGCAGCCATCAGACACTTTCAGGTCTGAAGGGCAAATAAGCAACAAGAATTCAGCCTCCTGAGAAGGTGTGTCTGTATGTAATCTCAGCACTCTGGGAGGCTGAGGCAGGAGGATGGCAAGTTTGAGCTCAGTCTGGGCAGTTTATCAGTTTAGTGAGACCCTGTCTCAATATCAAAAATAAAGAAGGGCTGGGGATGTAGCTCAAAGCAAAGGCTCTGAGTTCAATCCCCAGTACCAAGAAAAGATAATTCAGCCTCTTCTCTTCTTGCCAACAACGCAGGCCAAGTTTCCAGGAGGAGGGAAGGACCTGATGCTTCCCGAGTCCAGGGAGCACCAAGGACTCTATGAACCACAGAGCCCATGGCCAAAGCCTCCCCGGAGACCCACCGCTCTCCACATGATCCTCTAGCAGGGCCATGGAGAGTTATGAATCAAATGCCACATTTCTAATACATACCTTCCTCTAAGACGCCTATTTTAAAAAGTTGACTCCTCTCTCTCTTGTCTGCTAGTCCACCCCCATCCCAGCTCAGAGGTGCCAGGCGGGGGAAGGAGGGAAGGAAGGCTTGGAAGAAGAAAACCTACCACTAAGAACTACCCACCAAAGGCCGCTCTTACCCCGGCCCTTACCCTGGCTCCTGCCAAGGCTGTGGATGAGCTCAGTGGGTCTTTGAAGGTTTTCAAGGAGAGACACCAGGCAGACAAATGCAAAATATCAGTATTATCATGTGTATCTCGAAGCTATATGAATGAAATGATATCTAATGTGGTCCCGTGGCTGCCCTTCCTGTCCTCCTCAGCTGCGCTGACCCAGAGACCCTGGTCCCCATCTGTCTGAGAGGTCCTTCCCAGAGTACGCACGGCCAGTGGCAGTGACACGTGTCCAGTCGCACCATTTTTCCCTTTCCTGAGCATTCTCTCCACAGTAAGGTGCCTGTGTGACTCCCGAGGAGCGCCATGGTGGCAGATGCTAGGGCGGAAGGGATGAGCAGCGAGGAAGGGCCCAGGAAAGCCTCGTTTTCCTCTCTCAGCTGGAATTAGGGGCTGTGTAATGGACCTGAACAGTCGGATCCAGCCAGGACTTGATAGGCCTACAGGGGTGACTGAAAAAATAGTGATTGTTTAAACCAAGAAAAGTCATCGCAGTGAAAGACTCATTGCCACGAATCCTCCTCAGAATACTCCCCTCACTTTGAACATGCATCCCATCGTTCCGGCCACTTTTGAAGAGTTCAGGAAGTTCCCTTCCGCCAGTGTCTTTACAAGGTATGATCAAAAATATGGTGAATGCTGCTGCCAAGTGCCATCCAACCAAAGAGCAGGTTCATAAAAGCATTACTGGGCCACCGGATCTGACACCGAGTGTGACTTCCGGCTCTTCCTCAAACTCGAAATGACTGTGAAAGTTGAACACTTTGAATGGATCAGAACCACAGCACAGCTAAAAAAAAAAAAAAAAAAAAA